TTTCCCTTCTTTCTTTCTTTTTTCATATAATTCTCGTCTAAGTTGTAATTCTTCTTGCTGTTCTTTAAATGAATATACTTTGCTTTCTCTTTTCATATTCATTGAATTGAGAATATCATTTTCATCATTTGTTGGTAATACACTTTTATCATATAATTCTCCTTCTGGAGTGAGATAAATAAAATATTCATCTTTAGTAACTTTTAAAATCTCTACATCATCAAGTTTACTTGTAATGTTTGATATTATTACAGGTAGTATAATGTCTGGTATAATAGATATTACTTTTGTTAATGCATTTTCATAGCTAGCAATAGGTTTGTAATTTTGTACAAGTATTTTCTTTATTTCATGATTAAATGAACATAAAAAGTGTTTTGGTATAAGATTAAAATTCTTTGCAATTTTAAACCATAAATTTGGCATTGCTTTATGAATTGCAGGATGATGAGATGGTATCAATGCATCTCTTGTCATTTGCATAGCAGGTGATTCAAACAAAAAAGAACCTGAACAAATAGCAAGTAATCCATCTGCAAGACATCTACCAGTCGTTTCATAATTAAAAGATTCTTCTTTATTTTCTTTATCATTTTCAGATTTAATTTTTACACGTTCTAAGAATTTATTATATTCCATTAATAATTCTTGTGCAGGACCATATGTACTTAAACCAGTTAAAATTTTTTTAATTAACGGAAAACAGCGTTTTCTTATTTTATACTTAGGAGCAATGGCACATGCTACAATTGCTCTATGAACGCCATTTAAAGTTTTTTCATTCAATCTATCTCCAAATTCAGTAATTAACCTTTCACAAAACAACATAAGATGATATAAAATATCATCTCCACAAGTTGACAAAAATTTTTCGGAAAAGAATATTTGTTCATCAATTGCATTCCATAAAATAGTTTGTTTGTCATTTTCTACTTGATTAGCAAGCACAAATTTCAACAATAAATAAGCAGCTATTAAACCTTCTGTAACTGCAGTTGGTTGTGCAGATTGTTGTATAGCCCTTGTTAATGATTGTAATAATAATGGAGTTATTGTTTCAGAATAAGAAGCTACTGATGCAGAAAAGAAAAGTTTAATATAAGCAGTACGCACTATGGCAGTTGAAGTTTTAGCAGTCATGCCTTTTTTAAATGCATCTATTACACATTTTGGGACATTGTTTGCAAATTTGTTAGTCCATAAGGCCATCATTTCAAGAGCATGAATTAAAGTTTTCTCATGAACTTCAGTTTCAAGAACTTTGATGAAATGTTCACAAGCTGTTTCAGCCAATCTTTCAACACTACTTCCTGAAGCTGCATTGTAACTAAGATTGCCAGCACCTTGTAATACAGAAATCTTATGAGTTGCAACTGTAAGTTTCCCTTCTGATCCATGAAATACAGCAAATACAGATGACAATAAGTTTTCCAAAGCAATAGTATCTGAACATTGAAGAGCAAGTCTACGACAAGCTCCTACTGCTTCATCTCTAACTAAATCTTCTTTTGAATGTAAGTTTGCAAATAATCCTTTACTTATATCTTGACTATATTGACTTAAATCAAGACTTAAACCACTTAAAATATATCCAACTGATTCAATAATAATCTCTGGATTTCTTAACATAGCTTTTTGCAAAGCTGGTAATAGTTGACTTTTAAATTCATCATGAGATATTCTACGAAGAAGAGGTACAGCATTATGAACAACATATAGATCTGGCTTTTTCTTACAACTAATAGTTAATTTTATGAAAGGATCTATGGTGTTTGTCTGTAAAAAAATATATATTTGTTTAATAATTTCATTATAAAAAAATAAAAAATATTACTAATAAAAACAAATTTTTATTAGAAATATATTATTAATGAATATTACCTTCAATTTTGCCACTAATTCACTTTTTTTTGCAGTGACTAAATATTTAGTGAGTAAACTAGCAAGAACAATTACACCATTTTCAACTTCTAGTTTTGTTAGTGTTTCTAAATATTCAATGTCAATATCTTTAACACTTGACCATTGATGTGCTAATAAAACATATACTTTTTCTGTCAATTTTTTATCCATAGATGCCAAAGCTGCTGCACTCAAATTTGCTTGTGCTTCAATGAGTTTTGGTAATTCTGAATTGATGTTTAAATTGCTCTTATATCCATGTAAAACAATTAATGTTGACCATTTTAATGCAAGATATGCAGTTAAAGCTGTGTTTAGACTAAAAAATATTTTATTAATAACTTATAAAATATTTCATTAATATTATAAATATATTTGAGAAACTATTTGTAACATTTACATACGTAGGAACTACATTTTTATGCCATGTAGCTTGTTCTATTATAATATTAATCATATGTTTTATTGAAGGTTCTGGTTGTTTTTTTAATAATTCTTCAATTAAATTTTTCACGTAAGATTGGGAAGCAGTATCCTTATATCGATGTAAAGTAAGAGATATGGTTTTACAAATTCCATGTACAATCTTCTCATTGATGCCTATAAATATATAATACATAATAATAATGTTTCAATTAAAATGAGATTTTCAATAATAATATTTCTAATATAAAAAAATAATAAAAATATCTTTACAATTTCAATATATAAAAGATATTTTAAATATTTCTTCTATTTTAATGCAAATTTATACAAATACTTATTGTAAATAAAATTAATTTATTTTCTCAATTTACATATTTTTTGCTTCAATATAAATTATAATAATAGATATATTATGTAATATAATTACAAAATTTATGCTAGAAATTTAAACAATATAATTCACATTTTTATGATAATATTAATTAAAAATAATTTAATTGTTAGGATTAAAATATATATTACTTTTATTATATATAATTATTTCATAATATAAGATATGAAATACATTAGTATGAAGTATATTAACTACAAAATATGATATTTTATATATTTTTCATTTTTTAAAAAATTTAAGTCAAAATATTAAAATTTAATATATATATATTTTTGATTTATATATTATATTTTGTTTTGATATTTGTAAAAATAATAGCTTTATCTTATGTGATCAAAAGTAAAACTGAAAAAAAACTAAAAGATTAAAAATAATATACATAAATTACATAAAAATTAAAAGTATTATAATTAAATAATTGTCGGTTAATAAATGTCGGTTAATAAATTGATACGTTATAAAATTATATTATATATAATGTTATTTTTTCTTAATACATTAATTTTTTAATATATTTATAAAATATATATATATATATAATCTTTTTATTTTTCTATTATTAAATATTTTTATTAAAAAAGTTATAAATTCTTATCAGAAAATTATTCACATTTTCGTTTCTTACCAGGATTTGACAACACATTGACGACATTTTGTAGAATCTCTCGCCGCTCGTTTTTACTGGCGGTTTGAACTCGATTTGGCAGATCTTTTAATGCTTTCGTTAACTATAATAAAATCAAACATAAATAATTAGTAATTACAAGACAATAATATAGTTTTTGAACTTCCACGTGACAGACTCACCTCGACATCCGCCATATTCTTCAAAAACCGGACTGGCCTAAAGCGCCATCCTTCATTGGCTTAAACAGACATTCAAATTATTCTATTCAAAATTTTTATTCTTAAATTATATATATATAAATATATTTTAATTAATTAGATAATATTAATGATTCATAATTATTAATAATTTGATTGTTATATTTATATACATATATATATATCATTTTAAAAAAATATAATCTGCTAAATATCTGTTTTTGATATAATAATATAATATAAAATATTTCTATATTTTAATTTATTAAATAATTTATTAAAATTTGTTATAAATAATATACTTTTATAATTTTTAAATTTTTCAAATTTCATATTTGAAATGAATGACAAAAATATATTCGATAAAGTTTTTATCATTATACATATTATATCTGTCACGTCAAATAAATGCAAAGATAAAATTTTATATTTTAGAAATAAAAAATTTTATATAAACATAGACTATTATATTTAAATATTATATCTGTATGTGTATTATGAACATATATATTATAAATATATATGCGCATATATTATAAATATATGTGATATAAAAATTATATTTAATAATTAATTAATAATAATTATCAAATTATTAATAATATATGAAGCATTAACTATCTAATTGATTTTATTAAAATTTAATAAAAATGTGTTATTATTTATCTACAAAAATAAATTATATATATATTTATTTATTTAAAATAAGATATATTTTTACATAAGTTTAAGATAAATGATAATATTTATGTCTTTATTAAATAAAGCAACTCTATTTTCATCTTATTATGTTATCTAATATAAATTGTTCATAATAAATAAGCCTTAACCGATATTTTCGTATCAACTTTTGTATTTGTTTTGATCTCTAAGATTGACTTTCCAAACGTATTTTATGAATAAATATTAATATCTTGTATACATTATTAATGTATATATATACATATATAATATGTTTAATTCTATTTTATTAGAATATTAACGAATGAAATACATGATATTTATAACTAATAAAATATGTAAACCAAATATAGATATCAATAATATATTTTTATTTAATCAAAAAATAAAATTATATACATAAATATAATTATACATCATTTTGTATCCAAATACTTTATATTTGTGAACCCTAATACTAATAATTTTTATAAATAAGAATATAGATTTTTTTAAATCTTATCATATTATGATTTATTAATATTTATATATTTGTTATATATTTTACTGTTAATAAATGTATAAATATGTATTGAAATTTAAAAATATTTACGATTTATTATTAAATTATTCTTATTTTTTAAAAACATAATATGATCATAACTTTAACAATAATTTAATTGAATATTCATACATTGAATATTATATTAAATATTCATACAAAAGTTTTTATATTGGTACCATTGTCAATCAGTGGTTTCAATTTTTATATGCATTGACAATATGTATATGTATATTTATTTTTCAAAGTAATTAATATATGTGTTATGAACATAATTATTTTATAATTTAAGATAATTAATTTTTTTTATAAAATTAATATATCAGAAAACAAATAATAAAGAATTAAATATCTATGTTTTGATTTAATAAAAATTCTACATTTATAATTTTTAAATAACTTTTAATTAAAATATTTAATATGACTGCTATACCAGTTTTTATTCAAGAATGGACTTTTGATCAAGTTTTAGGTTCTGGTGGATTTGGTATTGTTCAACTTTGGACACATAAAAATGGTAAAAAAATTGGTACGTTAATTTTTTTGTAAAAGAAATAAAACGATGAAATTTAATATTTTTAACATTTTATCCTTCCTGATTAAAATAATTATTATTTATAATTAATAATTCAATATTTATGATTGTATGATATGATATTATAAAATTCAATATTTGAAAAATTATAAAATATTTTATAAATTATAGCAATTAAAATCTACAAAAAGATAGATATCAAACATTTAACAGAAACACAACAAAAAAGATGGATTTATGAAGTAAATATGATGAAACGTTTAAAGCATCCAAACATTGTTAAAGGATTTGACTTACCATTTAAACATCCTGATGATAAAAAAGATTTACCTATACTATGCATGGAATTTTGTAGAAAGGGTGATCTTAGATCGGTAAATATTAACATATATTTATCTTTCTTTAATTAATGAAATGTTTATATGGTTATATTATCAATATTTTTTAAATTTTAGGTTTTGAAGAAAGTAGAAAATTGTTGTGGTGTTAGTGAAAAAGAAGCAATTAATGTAATGAAAGATATTTCTTCTGCAGTAGAATATTTACATTTTAATAACATTACTCATCGTGATCTAAAGCCTGAAAATATTGTTTTACAAGATGAACATAATATAGTAAATAATATTGCTTTCATTGTAGCATTTAATATAGCATAAAATATATATATATATATATATATTTATACATACATATAAAATATATTTTAGATTTCATATAAATTAATAGATTTAGGATTTGCAAAAGAACTTGGAGAAACCAGTATATCTGGATCTTTAGTAGGTACATTGAATTATGTAGCTCCAGAACTATTATGGAAACAAACATATAGCTGTTCAGTAGACTATTGGAGTTTAGGAATTCTTTTTTATGAACTTGTTAGTGGTATAAGACCATTTTTGCCTAGAATGCAACATACTATGTCATGGTATATTAAAATTATAAAAAATATAAAACTATAAAAAATAATTTAAAATAAGAATTTTAATATATTAACTTATATGTTTTGTAGGATGCAATATATTAAAAATAAAAAATACGATGATATATGTGCTTTTAAATCAGAAGAAAATATAATTTTTGGTCAAGATATTATTGGTCCCACAAATTTATCAAAGTAATAACTATAAAAATATTTGATATAATATAAAAAGTATTAATTTCATTTAAACTTATCGTATTTTTTATTAGAAATCTTCAAAATAAATTGGTGGAATGGTTTAAGATTGTATTACAATGGGATCCAAAAAAAAGAGGAAAACAATATGATGAAGATGGAACATCAAATTTAGTGGTGTTTAAATTATTGCATTCTATTTTATCAAAACAGGTATTTTAGTGTGTAATTTTTATTATATTAGTATTACTTTAAAATATAAAAAAATATAAATATTTTATTTCTTCAGATAATTCGTGTGTTTTTTCCATCAATATATAAAATTAATTCATATGAAATAGTTAATACTACTAAGATTACAGATTTACAATATATGATTGAGAAGGATACTAATATACCAATAAATCAACAAACTTTAACAGATTATTTTGGTAAAGTTCTTATTGAAAATCAAATACCACTTTCATTACAAATTCAGGTATAAAATAATGTTATATACATTTTTATAGTTATTATATTCTTTACTCTTCAATGATTAGTAGTAATAATATAATAAACTATATAATTTCTATTATATATAAATTCTTTATAATAAAATTTTTAATATAATTATAATTTTATTTGTATAATTTATATATTAATATATGTGTAAATATTATATAATATTCATTACTATATAATTCATATACATATATTTCATATATTTCATATAATTTATTTTATAATAAAACATGCATAAATATTTATGTTTAAAACTAATTTTAATAAATTATTTATATCATAGATATTATCTTGATCATTGAAGAATTACTTTCTTATAATAAATTTATATTTCTTCATATTTAATTTTTTGTTTTTATCTTAATTTAATCTAATGATTATATTGTAGGATTCAATTTTATTGTTTTTAAAAATGAAAATTCTTTAATAGACAATATTCCTTCACCAAATATTCCTATGGAAATTCAAAAAATGATAGGATTATCAAAAAATCAATTAGATTTTGAAACATTACAAGATTATTATAGAGTAACAATATTTTTTATGAATCAGCAAATATATTTGTTTCAACAGTATATTTTTGCTTTAAGTATAAAAGTGTAAGTTTTTCATATAATTTTTCAATATAATTATTTTAAATTATTATGTATATAAACTTAATTTACATAATTTATCTGTAAATATATTTATAATATATTATAATATTTTGATTATACATAATACAATTATTTTATATATTATTATATATTTCAGAGATTTGATTATTTCAAGACTTGATACATTTGATAAAAATATAAAAGATACATTAACAAATATAAATACTCTTTTGCATAAACTATCTATAGTTCATACTGAATGGGAAAAAGGATCTACAAATAAAGATAAATTGATAACTTTGGAAATTATATGTAATAAAGTTACTAAACTTATTGAGATCACTAATCAAATAAAATTAAAATTTAATTTGCTAATATTGGAGAACAGTAAATTAAAAGATACAGTACAATCTATTGATTGTATTAAAGATATGTTTCAAATGTAAGATTTTATTTTATAATATTTTAAATACAAATATATATGTATAATATTTATTTGAATTTTATATAGATATGATAGAGCTGCAAAAATTTATGAGTTGCATATAAACAAATGTTCTCATAAAGATGCAAAACCAATAGAAATGGTAAAATTAATTTTTGAATTTTTGAAAGAAGAAGAAATACAATTTCGTAATGAAAATATTTTTAAAACTATAAAGTATGTATGCCATGTATAAGCATATTTATATTGTATATATTAATAATATGTAATATATTAATATATGCATTAATTGTTATATTACATTAATATTTTAGAGAAATAACAAAGTTGGAAATAAAACTTTCAAAATTAGAAACGATTTTCAATTCAGTTATTGCTATGAAGAGCATATATTATGAAGAATTTCAAAGTATAACGCAACATAGTTTTAATAATATGTTTGATATTTCTGATAAAGAATCTTTAAACTTATCTACTACTTTACATGACACTGCAAATATTTTATCAAATGATAATATGGAAGTATCAAACGAATTTAATAGTAATCAATTTTTGAATACATTTAATGTCAAACATAAAGAAATTATAAATACAGATAATGATGTGATATATGATAACTTATTAATACGTTACACGTATGTTTTATTACAATTTTCATGTTATAAAATAAGAATATGATATTTAAAATGAAAGTGTAAAATACTTTTATCTTTTATTTTACCAGGTTAGATAATCTTTTGATAGAAATGAAAAAAAAATATATGGAGCTACTTAGTTTGGAACTTTAAACATGCAACAAAGAATGTATGTACTGCATTGTTTGATTTTTAAGATTTTATTTCTTTTTTTCTTTTAATAGATTTTCACTATTGTTTTTTTTTTAAATTTAACATTTTTTTTATAAAATATATATTTTTTTTTAAAGAAGTTTATTTATTTGTTTATATATATATTTTTAAAGAAGTTTATTTATTTGTTTATAATTGCAGTATATTTTAATATTTTTGGTTTCTTGAAATATAATGTCGTACACCCCATTTAATATTAGCATTTTTGTCTGTTTTAAGATATGTATATATAGGTCCATTTGTTATATATTTCTGTTTTATTTTCCACTCAACATTATTTGATGATGTTAAGTGATCTGTAAAATATTATTTATTAATATAAAAATTAAAAATATTTTATTTTATATATATATACATATATATAGAGAGTATTTTTCATTTTTTCTGGAAAAATTGTAAATACATAATTTATAGTATAAGTAAAAATAAAAAAAATTTTAAACAAAAATGATTTAATATATTAAAATTATAAACAAATATTAATTACAAAATGAAATATAAATTAGCAAATGGATTTTACATTATAAAATATGAAAGATTAATATATGTATAATTTTTTTTAATTTTATAAAATGATATATTCTTACATATTATATTTGTTTATAATTTTGTAATAAAGTAAAATTTTATTTATTTTTTTTAATTTCGTTTATAAATAAGAAACAATCTGTATTGAATATCAAAATTTTATATATTAGATGAAAGTTAATAAATAAAAAATTTGATATATAAATACATGTATATGTATGTACATAAATATATATATATATATTTATAATAAATATATATACGTATTTGCACAATGCTAATCAATCATTTCATATAAATACAAATGTGTGATAAAAATATAATTAAGTAAATTTATGGCAAAGTTTTATATAATATGTACTTTTTTTACACACTATATTAGTATAAAATAATTTAATATATATTATATATACATATGATGAAAACATTTATTCTTCATATATATATATATTTTAAGCAAAATTATTTTAATAAACAATAATTATATGAATATGAAAATAATATATATTTTAAAGAAAAATTAATAAAAAAAATTGATTAATAGTTATTTATTTTGAACATTATGAAACATACCTTTTTTAAACATTACACACAAAAATAAATATATAAGAATAGATTTTAATATCTGTAATAAAATTGATTATTATTGTATATATATAAGAATAAGTGTATATATTACAATTTATTTGTAATTAAATTATATTTACAATTCTGATGTTTAAAATTTTAAGATTCATTGTATCATAGAAACAGATAGAATACTGACTGTTTTATAATAAACTATATCAATAGATTTTACCTTCAACAAAAACTTATGGTTGAATGGTTGAATGAATATATAAGGCAAATGTTTTTATTTTGCTTTCACTTACATAAAAAATTTTCAATTCTTATATAATTAATATATTTCTTCATAAATTCTATATAATAGTGAAAAATATTAAATAAGATATATCAACAATTTCATATTTTGAAATGTATTTTATTAAAAAAACTGTATATACATCCTAAACTGAGGATTAAACAACAATGTTAAAATAAATATGATTTTCATTTACTATTACTTTCTCTTCACTGAAAAATCTTACACACCATACTATTTTTTCTAGATTGTCCACGTATATTAACAATTATGCAATTTCACGTATAAAAGTTCATTGTACATTAACTTGACAAGTAAAAAAAGAGGAAAAATGCGAACATTTTCAATATCTATTTAGAGTTTTGAAACAAGTTTAAAACTTTTAACTGTTTCAAAAGAAATAGATATTATTCATTGTCACTGATATCTTCATCAGTTGTATATTCGGAATGTTCATCAGCTGCATCTACATCTTCTGCTGTTTCTTCATCTGAAATATCCCACTGAGGATGTTCTGTGGGAACTTTTGGTGCTTCTTTTACATCCAGCTATAAATAAATATTTTTAAGTTAAGTATAATAATAGATAATAATAGCAAGTATATAATAAAATATATAATAAAATAATAATAATAATAATAATAATAACAATGAAATTTCAATTTCTATAAATAAAGTTTTATCACACACCTTAATATCTTGAGCTTGATCAAAACCAAGATAAGAATCACTACGTAAACACACAGTAAATGTATAAACACCTGGCCATCGTGGTGCTGTAAATTTTAACTGAACTTCTTCAAAATGTGCTAACGATGTAACATAAATAGGAGTTGTTAATAAAGTTTGACTTTTGCGATCACAAATGTAAACCCACCAATATTCTTGCTTAACATCTGGAAAGAGTGGGCAATGCACTTCATGTGATATATTACTTCTTCCTTCTAAAACTTTTTCTCTCTTTGAAATTCTTTGCTGAAATCTGCTTAGAAGAATATTAGTACATAAAAAACTATTATTATATATATCAAATTATTATAAAATAATTATTTTACCTTCCCATTCTGTATCATCATCATCTATAGACATATCTTTTTTTTCATGATTATCTTCATCATTACTTCTGTCACTATCAACATCACTGTCACTGACATCAGATAGTTTATCTTTGGAAGACTCTTTCTCTATTTTATCTTCTTTTTTCTTTGCATTAGGAGTATTTGTTTGTTGAGCGTTATTGCTAGACTGTAATTGTGTCTGAGCATTCTTTGTAGAAGTAAATTTCTTACTAGTACCTTTTTTATGGGACTTTTTTTGACCTTTCTTTTGCCTAAGCCATGCCGGCTTTTTTACAGTTTGATTCTGTTCTTCTGACACTTCATCAGGAGCTTCACTGTTTAGTTTACTATCATCAATCATGGTTTGTTCTTTAATGGTATCATCTCCAAATAAATGTTTCATATCTTTACGAGTTAATGATACTGTTACAGTCACAATAGCACCAGCAGTATAAACAGTTGGATTTTCATCATCAATTACTGAAATTAAATAGAAAAAAAAAATTATATTTTATGTATATATAAATATATAGAAAAAGATACAATCTCATCAATTTTAATAATTTTTAAATATATTATAGAAGACAATATTTTGAACAACTTTTTTCCATATATATATATATATATTTTAGTTTCAAGATATTTGCAAGAAGTGATTGCTACTACTACATTGAATTTTGTATGTATGCGTCTATGATAGCGTACACATTAATATATGACTGTCACTTATCAAGTATTTTATAAACACATCATAGCAGCTGATAAAATAAAAAAATAAAAAATAAAAATAAAAAACGGATGAACTAATATCATTTAGTACTTATCTATAGAAAGCTTGTACATTCCATGAATCTTTCGAATTTATGGAATGCAAAAATAAATATAAATAAATAACCTTTAAGCGAGCAAAATTACAATGACTAAATACTTATGTTATAATAATAAATATTAAATATGTGTAAAAGAATTTTGTGGTACGTGAATCGCATGGTAGTCTACACCTGTTTAATATACGTGGAGAGTGAAAGATGATGATCGCCGAAGCACGGAGATGATCGACAATCGTGGATCGATTCCTGAAAGAAATAAGACGATATCATCACAAGAAAAAAAATGGACTATCAGATCGATTTATTAGCAATTGCAATCTCGAATTGTGCGGATGCTAAAAAAATTCCCGAGCATTTTTTTTCTATTCATATCATAGGTGGAATATATATATTTCTAATAATTGATATTTATAGACATATAGTAAATATTTTATTATTTAAGTTAGTGAAACAAAAAATAACATAAATAATATTGTTATATGATTTTTCAAAAAAGCAGTGCTCTATAAAATTCAATCAGTTTTCAAAAGCTTAATAAATTAAAAAAGTTAAATATATAATTATACCGGACAAATATCTTATCGATGTGATAATCGATAGAATAGGCGATGACAACACTGTATGAACTATAAAGTCTATAAGATTTGTTTTTTATTCTTTATATATGAGATATTACTATTATTGTAATTTATATATTGCTATTATTGTAATTTCTGTTATTCCAATATTCCGACTTCACTTGCCCAAAGATTGTATTTTATTATCGCATTCTATGGATCTGTGAAATGTTGAATTGGTTTTTAAACTCATAAAAATTTATGAGAAAATAATTTTTTGATTATCCTACATATCTTAATTGCTTATTAAATGTATTTATATAAACATTAAATAAAAAACATATTGATGCATACGCTATCATTGATATATAAGTATAGATGAAATTCAATGTAGTAATAGCAACCATTTTTTTTGCAAATATTTCGAAAATTAAAGCCAAATAATAGTTATATAAGAAAAAATTGGATAAAATATTGTTTTCTAACATAACATATTTAAAATCATTGAAATTTGTGAGATATGTCTTTTTCTATATAATTAAAAGAGCATTAAAATATAAATATAAAATGTTATCAAAAGTAAAAAAATATTAAATAATTTTTACCTTCAGATCGTACTTTGAATTCTATATATGGCATACTTCCAAGAACTTTCATTACATCTTCATATTGACTCTCTGATAAATGTCTAAGAATCAGTCTTCTTTCTTCTCCTTTCAATTGTGCAAATTGTTGAAGACTTTTGATTTGATGCTAATTTAGTTGAATAAATTTGATTAAATTTTAAATTATAACATATAAAAAAAAGTGTTACAAGTCAACATATTTAATTTTTATTTTATTATGTGAAATACATCTTTTAATTTAGATTTTATTTAATTTTTTTAATTTAGATTTAAAAATAATATATATTGAAGTTAAATACTTCAAATAAAATAGCATTATGGTTGATCTAATTAATTAAATCAATATAAACTAATGTGTGGTGAATAAGTCGGATTTGATTTCTAAATTTTTACAATGAAAATATTAATATTTTCGTCTGGTCCATGGAAAAATTTTTGGCAAGAGACTGTTATAAATTTATTTTTAAGTCAACATATTGTCTATTGTTTGATAATAATATAACTGCACTATTAATTGAATATCATGCATCTATATTATCTTTTCGATTCGCCTTGTTGGATTAATTATAATTTTTAATGAATCAGTTTCTTTTTAATTTGAAAAATTTCATGTTTTTGACTTGTAACATTTTTTGTACATAGAGAAATATAGATATTCTATATTAAAAAAAAATTAAAATTTTTTAAATATCTTTTTATAATAATTGAATAATACCTTTTTTGGTAAAAAACATTTTAAATTATCTTCAGTTATATGTGGTAACTGTAAAAGAGGATTTTTGAATTCCCAAAAACCTTGTACTATCATTGCACATAATTTCATGCAATTTTCTACAGTTTTTATACTTGGTAAACGGGGAACTGCAAAAAAAAAAAGAAATATTCATC